TAAGACCATGTTCCATGTGTTTGTCCGGCTGATATCATGAGAACAGAGGATTATATGATCACTTATCTTAAATGGCGTATCATCATCATCTCAGTTCCGAGAGACTTTGAAAGAGCTACGATTGCTAGTCGGATTTTGAAGTCATATTTGCAAATATAGTTATTAGACTTATCCAAGTGGGAGACTGTTGGATATAGTGTCTAAGTCCATAACTTTATTTGGTATGTACTTGACCCGACCCGGCATGGTCCATTTGGGTTGCATGGCATTGCAATACTTGGATAGACTAAATGAGAGAATAAGGCACTTATGATTATTAATATATTATAAGTTCTAATATATTAATAATAGTATTATTTAATTAGTATTGATCAAGTATTAATCTAGGATTAATTTGGTGATCAAAGTGAGACTAATTAAATATATAGGGTTGATTATGACAATCATCAATTCTTTTATGGTGGATTAATGATCCATGGTTTATGGGTTATGGATGTAACCATATGGAGCTCCATGGATAGTCCATGGGAGTTACAAATCCATGGGTCATGGGAAATCAAGAGTCATGACAATTAAGGGTATTCATGTGTAAACCCTAATTGTGACAACACTATAAAAGGAACCCTATGGCTAGCAAAAAGTGGACCTAGTGGACATAGTGTTACTAGAGAGGGCATAACCAATTTTGAGTGCTAGAAGTATTCTCTCAAGTTATTCCAAGTCTTGTGGTGTTGTGTGAAGCATTTGAGGCACAACATTTGGGGTGCTAGGCTCACAAAGTCTTGAAGGAATCCAAGCAACAACAAGGTATGTATTTCTACTAGTTTTATGTTTTATGTAATCCCCATGCCATGCTAGTTAGGAAATAACCTTGAAAAAGAAATTTGCATTTATATAGAGAAAACATAGATTCAAGGTTATTAGGGTTGCATGTATACTTAGGAAGTGTTAGAATGCTCAAAACCCATCACCTTATTCATGTGATATGTCATGCGGAATTGATCATAGCACGATGGTAAGGAGTGCAAAATGATATCTATTGCAAGCTCCTCAGGGAAGTTCACATTAAGCTTCAGCAACCGATCCACATACCTTTGCATTTTCTGCATGTGGCTCGTGACGGATTCCCCGTCCTTCATCATGGTTGTTATGATAGAGCATATGATTTCATACCTCTCTTGTCGTGCACTTTGATGGTATCTTTCCATCAGATCTTGGTGCATTTCAAAAGGGTAGAAGTCCTCATAGGACTTTTCGAGTTCCGTTGTCATGGTGGCCAACATGATGCATGCCACTTTTGTAGCATCCCTTTCATGTGCCCGGAAGTCAGCGATCTCCTGGGGAGTTGCAGTGGTCTCATCAATCTCCTTAAGCTCCTTGTCAAGGACATATTCTTTGTCCTCGTAGCGGGTAATCATCCTGATGTTTCTGATCCATTCATTGAAGTTGGATCCATCAAAAGTGACTTTCCCACACAAGTTCACAAGGGTAAAGGAGCCATTAGGATTAGAGCCAGAAGCAGCATTGCTTGAAGACATCTGAAAGAAGAGAACAAGATTAGTTTAGATATTAAGAGAGTCCTTAATAAAACACCCAAATGTAATATTAAGGCTAGGATCCAATCACAATATATTATAACTTAGAAGAGGTATGCCGTAATCCAAGCTATAACATATTTGAAAGGTAGGTGAATGACGATTCACCAATTTCCACCATGAAAAACGAAATATAAATATTAGGTTTTTAATTGGTTCTTAGAAATTCCTAGATTCTTTTGAGATTCAATGAACTTTTCAAAGGCATGTTTCAATCTCGAGTGTGCCCTCCAAGTTTTTGTGACTGGGATACCGAGGATCACAAAACGAGGTGTGAAGTAACCATGCAAATCACTTGGTACCCTCAAGGTTTATCACTCAATCGATGTGCCGGTAAACCACACACGCTCCACCGATGCTATGGTAAACCTTAAGTCACCCATTACCTACCTTGTTAAGTCCAAGTTAGTGTGCCGGTTAACCACACACGCTCCACCAACGACTTAAACAAAGTGTAAAGTGTAATTTCATGGATTAGCACCTTATTCACATTTTCCTAAAGTAACTAAGATTGGGAATTTAATAAAAGCATTTAGTTACTTTATAATATTCATCATACTTTTAATGAGAATTTATAAGTCCTTGTTTTACCCGTTCGGCTAACGACCCTCCACCGATCAAGGAAGCGGTGGGTGAGGTGGACACCCATTAAGTTGCCATTTTATAGGCAACAACCTTATACCCCCCTTATAGACCGGCTTCGTGAATGAGGCTTACTAGCGGTAAGACGACTTGACGTTATACATATATATATTAGTAACTTATAATATTATAAAGTATAAGGGTTGAATTTTAACTTTTAAAATTCTAAGGGTTGGAAAAGTTTTAATCAAGACTTTACATGTTCCAAAACTTGAGGGCAAGTTTTGTAAACTTCCAAAACTTTTCATTTCTTATAACTTATGAATTAATTGAGTAATAAAAATGAAGACTCTTCATTTTTATAACTCTTGTGTTCTTTTAATGGCTTTAATAAAAGTGAGACTTTTGGTTTTTCCATAACTTGAGGACAAGTTATGGACTCCATTAAAACACATTATGATCATGAATTAAACTACCATGAAGGTTACAAACAATTCCTATGATCATCTAATCTTCATAAGTTCAAGAACATGAATATGAACACTTTCAAGAATCAAAAATTACACTTAAAAAAAACTTGTAATTTTAATAATTGCCATTGTAAATGGATTAGCATAAACATTACACCATCTAAAACAAGCTTTAAAACATCAAAACAGTTTAGGGTAATGTTTCTAGTCCATTTCCAGCAACAAATGTGCAAACTTTCATACGAGCAGAAAACAGAAAAACGATTTTTTTTTCAAGCTGTTTGCACAAAAAAAAAAACAACTACAAACGAACCTGGCTCTGATACCACTGATGGGTTTTTGAGCATTCTAACACTTCCTAAGTGTACATGCAACCCTAATAACCTTGGATCTGTGTTTGTCTAATTATCATGCAAAGTTGAATTCCAAGGTTATATTCCTATCTAGCATACATGGGGAACAAATTTTTAACTTGCATGAAAGATATAATAACTTACCTTGTTGTTGTTTATGATACTTGAAACCTTGTGAGCCTAGCACCCCAAGTGTGATGCCTCAAATGCTTCACACAACACCAAATGCTTTTGGAATGACTTTAGAGAGAATACACACTTCTAAAATCGGCCTAGCCCTCTTGTTTCTTAGTGTCGCCGATTTTGGTGGAGAACATGTTGCTTATATAGTGTGTCACATCTAGGGTTACACCATGTAAACCCTAATGTGGCATGACTCTTCATTTCCATGACCCATGAGTTTGTAACTCCCATGGAGCCTCCATGGAGCATTCAATGGGTTTAACCCAACTTGATTATCCATGGAGCCTTTTAGCCCACTATACAAGTTATGGATGATTTACATGATCAACCCATATATTTAATTAGTCATCTTTTGATCACTTAATTAATCCTAGATTAATTCTTGATCAATACTAATTAAATAATACTATTAATATATTAGAACTTATAATATATTAATAAACCACAAGTGTTATTTCTCTCATTTAGTCTATCCAAATGCATGATGCCATGCAACCCAAATGGACCATGCTGGGTCGGGTCAAGTACATACCAGAAATAGTTATGGACTTAGACACCTTATCCAACAAGGTTCACTACGATGTTCAGAAATGAGTATGTTCCCCCGGTGGAAAGGGAACGGTTGGCCCAGGAGTTCCTGTCCCTCAAGCAGAGGACAGAGTCTGTGACAGTGATTACGAGGATGTTCCATGAGAGGGCGTTGTTCTGCCCTGAGCACGTGTCTACCGAGCAGGCACGTATGAGTCGGTATTTGAGCATTCTGAGGAGGGATATTCGTGAGTTCGTGGCGAACTCGTCTTATCGGTCATTTTTTGAGCTTCAGGCAAATGCCCGGAAGAGGGAGACCGAGTTAGAGACTCAGTCCAGGGAGGAGGCGGAGTCTCAAGGGAGAGATCGGCGGCCGGCACAGTCTCAGCCGGCAGCCAAGCGGGCAAAGCCCACTGATTCGAGATCAGGAGGTCAGAAGGGCCGCACTTGTGGAAAGTGCGGCAAGGGTCGTGAGGGGATATGTCTGTTGGATTAGTGTCTAAGCCCATAACTATTTTGGTATGTACCTGACCCGATTGCGAGCATGGTCCTTTTGGGTTGCCTTCACCAAAGCAACTTGATAGGATGATTTGTGGAGAAAGAGATTAATTATGATTTATTAATATATTATATGAATAATATTTTAAAAGAGAAATCATATTGTTTAATTAATATGAGTCAAGAATTAATCAGAATTAATTTTGTGGCTAAAGGACATTAATTAAATAAAGGGGACTAGAACTGTCAATTGTGTGATAGTTGGATATTGGGCTAATGGACTCCATAGAGGATGGAGTGGACGAAATCTATGGGGAAACCCATTAGAATTCATTCAAGGCCTCTAAAGGAGGAGTTCATAGGTTGCTTAGGGCCTAAGCAGTCAAATTAGGGTCTCCTTGTTAGATAACCCTAATAGCCTCACTATTTAAGGGCCCCTAGGGCACCAAAAACGTGGCTATCTTATTCCTTAGGGTTTCTAGACGTTTTTGAGTGCCTCCCCTCTTCTCCTTCTTCATCCTCTTGCTCTTGGTGTTTGTGAGCCATTAGAGGAGTGACATTTGTGACTCTAAGCTTTTCAGAAGCCAATTCCAACAAGGAATAGATTGTTATTGCTACATAACAATCAAGGTAAGATCTAAACCCTAATTCATATGTTATTTGATTATCACATGATAGATCTAGGGTTTATGGCTTTGGATGATTATTGCATGTTCATTAGACAAACTAGATCCAAAGCTTTAGGGTTTGCATGTACACCATAGGAATGTTGTAGTGCTCAAAACCCATCAATGTCGAGCAGGGTCTTGCTACAAGTGTGGCAAGGAGGGGCATATGGCGAAGGACTGCCCCAAAGGATTTGTAGTTTGCTTTCACTGCAACCAGACTGGCCATCGGAAGGCCGAGTGCCCGCAACTGCTTCAGGGATCAGCGTAGGGAGCTGTACCTGCTGCTATTCGAGCTACAGAGAGTCGGCCAGCTAAGGCTGAGGCACCAAAGGCTCGCGGGAGAGCCTTTCAGCTGACAACGGAGGAGGTCCACGCAACACCCGATGTTGTGGTCGGTATGTATTGTTTTGTTATTCTATTTTGAGTTATTTGTGCTTATATTGTGATATGCGTAGGTACTTTTCTGGTGAGTTCTGTACCTGCCTTAGTGTTATTTGACTCGGGTACGGGCCGATCGTTCGTATCATTAGCATTTAGTCACCACATCAATGTCGGACGTGAGTCGTTGAGTCGACCTCTGAGAGTTTCTATAGCCGATGAGCGTGCGGTGTTTTCCACTGATGTGATCCGAGGATGTGTACTCGAGATTTTTGGTGTTGAGTTTCCGATAGACCTGGTGCCGATCGCGATGGGTGACGTCTGTGTCATTGTGGGCATGGACTGGTTGAGCCGGTACGAAGCAGTAATCGACTGCGAGCGTTAGTTGGTGACCATACGAGACCCTAGTGGGGGAGTGCTTACAGTATATGGCGAGGGTACCCGATCTGGATCAGCTTTTTGCTCGGCCGCCCGAGCGAGACAGAGTTTACAGGAGGGTTGCATGGGTTTTCTGGCGTATGTGATGGATACGCGGGTTACTGCTGAGAGACCGAGTTCTACTGCTGAGGTTCCGATAGTAAGTGAGTTTTCGGATGTTTTCCCGAAGAGTTACCGAGGGTGCCTCCCGAGAGGCAGGTGGAGTTCCGGATTGATTTAGTTCCGGGAGCGGCGCCTATTGCCAAGGCGCCTTATCGCCTTGCCCCGCCCGAGATGCAGGAGTTATCCTCGCAGCTTCAGGAGCTGTTGGGGAAAGGTTTTATACGACCGAGTAGCTCGCCATGGGGAGCGCCGATCCTTTTTGTCAGGAAAAAGGATGGTTCACATCGGATGTGCATTGATTACCGGGAGTTGAACAAGCTGACGGTCAAGAACTGTTATCCACTTCCGAGGATTGACGATCTGTTCGATCAGTTGCAAGGTGCATCTTGGTTTTCTAAGATTGATTTGAGATCAGGGTATCACCAGATGAGAGTACGCGGGGAGGATATTCAGAAGACAGCTTTTAGGACTCGTTATGGGCATTACGAGTTTGTGGTGATGCCTTTCGGGTTCACCAATGCACCGACAACATTCATGGACCTCATGAACCGGGTGTCCAGACCTATGTTGGATCGATCGGTGATCGTGTTCATTGACGATATCCTCGTGTACTCGAGGTCCAAGGAACAGCACGAGGAGCACCTTAGAGAGGTTTTGGGAGTATTGAGATCAGAGAGGCTTTATGCCAAATTCTCCGAGTGTGATTTCTGGTTACGAGAGGTCCAGTTCTTGGGCCACCTCATTAATCAGAATGGGATTTTGGTCGATCCGGCCAAGATTGAGGCTGTTATAAGGTGGGAGGTGCCGAGATCCCCCGCCGAGATCAGGAGCTTTCTGGGATTGGCCGGCTACTACCGGAGGTTTATCAGAGATTTCTCTAAGATTGTCGTCCCCCTCACCAGGTTGACCCGGAAGGGCGTTACTTTTACTTGGGGTCCCAAGCAGCAGACCTCATTTGAGACTCTTCGCCAGAGGTTGTGTGAAGCCCCGGTGTTAGCTCTTCCCGAGGGAATGGAGGACTTCGTGGTTTATTGTGATGCATCTATATCCGGGATGGGTGCGATGCTAATGCAGAGGGGACACGTGATAGCATACGCATCGAGGCAGTTGAAGCCTCATGAGACGAGATATCCCACCCACGACCTAGAGCTGGGGGCGGTGGTCTTCGCCCTCAAGATCTAGCACCACTATTTGTATGGGGTTCGGTGTACCATATACACGGACCACAAGAGCTTGAAGTATCTGATGGATCAGCCCAACCTGAATATGCGTCAGAGGAAATGGTTGGATGTGGTAAAAGATTACGACAGTAAGATCCTGTATCATCCGGGCAAGGCTAACGTGGTAGTTGATGCCCTGAGCCGCAAGGTAGAGAGTGCCCCGATTCGAGATGTGTGCATGATGATGACAGTGGTGACTCCGGTGTTGGATACCATTCGAGAGGCCCAGGCAGAGGCCGTGAGACCGGAGAACCGCAAGAGGGAGCGGGTGATTGGGCAAGCATCCGAGTTTGTGACGGATAGCCGAGGGCTTATGACCTTTAGAGGGCGGATTTGGGTGCCCTATACGGGCGGAGCACACAACATACTGATGGAAGAGGCGCACAGATCGAGATTTTCGATCCATCCCGGGGTCACTAAGATGTATTTGGACCTGAAGAGAGATTACTGGTCGCCTTGCATGAAGAGGGATGTTGCGTGGGTAGTCGAGAGGTGCTTGACCTGCCGTCGGGTCAAGGCAGAGCATCAGCGTCACCACGATCCATTGCAAGCCTTGGAGATTTCCCCAGTGGAAGTGGGAACAGATCTCTATGGACTTCATCACCAAGTTACCGACGACTGCGCGTGGAGTTGACACGATTTGGGTGATTGTGGACCGATTGACGAAGAGTGCTCATTTTCTTGCTATTAATGAGAGCTCCTCTACAGAGAAATTGGCCAAGATTTATGTGAGAGAGGTGGTATCTCGGCACGGGGTGCCGATCTCGATAGTGTCAGATCGGGATGTGCGTTTTACTTCCAGGTTCTGGAAGAAGTTTCACGAGTAGTTAGGTACGCGACTGCACTTCAGTACAGCCTACCACCCACAGACAGATGGGCAGAGTGAGCGGACGATCGAGACGCTCGACGACATGCTTCGAGCATGTGTTATGGGTTTCGGTGGAAGTTGGGACACATACCTGCCTTTGGCTGAGTTGTCTTACAACAACAGCCACCATTCGAGTATTGGTATGCCTCCCTTTGAGCTTTTATACGGGAGGAGTGTCAGACTCCTATTTGTTGGGTAGAGGTGGGGCAGGAGTGATGGGTTAGCATGAGATAGTGCTCAGACGACCGAGCAGATTCAGCAGGTCAGGCAGAGGTTACTGACGACCTAGAGTCGCCAAAAGAGTTATGCAGACAGGCGGCGATCCGAGCTCGAGTTTTGGGTTGGAGACTTTGTCCTTCTGAAAGTATCCCCTTGGAAAGGGGTGATCCGATTCAGGAAACGGGGCAAGCTTGGGCCCCGATGTTGGATTAATGTCTAAGTCCATAACTATATTTGGTATGTACTTGACCCGACCCGGCATGGTCCATTTGGGTTGCACTTCACCGGCACAATTTATATGGATAGTCTTTTGAGAATAGTATATTTATGATTTATATTAATATATTATAAGTTCTAATATATTAATGGAATCATATTATTTAATTAGTATTGATCAATAATTAATTTAGAATTAATTAAGTGATCAAAAAGAACTAATTAAATATGGACTCTTATATATATGGAATGGGCCAAGTTCATTTAGGTTGGGCTAAGCTTTCATGGATGGTCCATGGAGCATTAACCCATGGATCCTAGGAAATGAAAGGTCATGGGTATTAGGGTTTAACCCTAATCCTCCACACTATATAAAGGGTCTTATGGTTCATGAAATGATGCTAGTGGCTAGTGTGGATACACTAAAGAGGGCAATAACCGATTTCATAGGTGTGAGCCAGTATCCATATCTCTCAAAGGTTTTCCAGGTGTTTGGTGATTTGTGATTCCACTTTGAGGCTTTCACCACTATTGGGGCTAAGCTCTTAAAGCTTGAAGACATCAAGCTACATCAAAAGGTATTGTCATCTGACTAGAACTTTGTAGTATAGGTGCTTCATATATGCTAGTTAGGATGAAACCTTGGAATATTTAATATTTGCATGTATAATAGAGAAAACATAGATCCAAGGTTTATAGGGTTGCATGTACACCATAGGAGTGTTAGAATGTTCAAAGCCCAACAGTGGTATCAGAGCCATGGGTTGTTTTCTGTTATATTGATGCAAATGTTTTATTTTCAAGTTGAAAAAAAA